ACCTCCTCAGCATCCCTCGACTCGTCTACTCTTACCTCCCCCCTCCTCTCTGCCTCTCCCGCTCTCACTCTCTATCTTCTCCTCTCTCACCTCCAGCCAGTCTGCGTTGACTCGTCGCAGCAGGAAGATCACCTCTCCTCTCTTCAGGTTCAGCTCCGCCTTACCGTTGCCGCGAAAGTCAAACATCGCCTGGAAGACACACAGAGACAGAAGTCAGCGAGAGGAGCAGAAGAAGAAGAAGAAGAAGAAGACGGAGACTCTACAGACGGACAGAGAGAAGAAGAGACGGTGAAAACAGACAGGTAGGACCGCGGGCCGAGGGAGGAAATGAGGGGAAAATATGACATTAAAAAGATGGAAAATCTGAGGAGAGATGATACAGGAGTGAAAAGTCATTAATAAAAAAACTTTTCTGTTTAAAATAAAGTTATTATAATAATAGTGTCAGCTAACGGGGGTGAGGGGAGGTTATTGAACATGTGCTTGGTTCTAGAGTTGATGTTTCTGCAGAACAAAATGTGTAAAAAACACTGAGAGGTTTTTATGACTTTATGACAGGAAATAGAGACGCAGAGAAAGAAAGAAAGAAAGAAAGAAAGAAAGAAAGAAAGAAAGGAAGGAAGGAAGGAAAGAAAAGAAAAAAGAACAAAAGAACAAAAGAAAGAAAGAAAGAAAGACAGAAAGGAAGAAAAAAGGAAAGAAAAAAGAAGGGAAGAAAGAAAAAAAGAGAAATCAATGTCTTGTCAGGTTTAAATAGTTTGATTCATGAAGCACTGAATGTGTCAATGTGGCAAACAGACAGGAGCATTAAGGATGGATGGATGATGGATGGATGGATGGATGATGGATGATGGATGGATGGATAAAGAAGATAAGTGAGTGAGTGAGAGAGAGCTCAGTGGTCTGGATGGTCTACACCTCCACAGTCAGTCTCTGGTCCCTGGTCCGACTGAAAATATCTATAGAACACACACACACACACACACACCGTACACACATCTGTTTGTGTGTGTTAGAGACTGAGGGATCAGTCAAACTAGTCAACACGTCTGACACTGATGACATTTAAAGGTAAACTGCACATTACTAACTGTTAAAAAAACCCAATCTCTTCAGCATTTATTTATTTATGTCTGTGGGAAAAAAGAGGATTCTCCTCAGAAAGTTAATTAACAAAGAACCACTTTACACAGAAGCTAATTTAGCTTCTTTCTTTTTTTTGAACATTAAAACTCTCTCCATCTTGTTTTCCTAAAACAATCACAAAGACAAAGACTTCAAAGTTCAACTTTTTCCGGGGCAGGAGTCTGGTGTTAATCGACCGTAGGTGAAGAGAAGGTCACGTCTCTAAATCTAGCCCTGCGACCCATGGGTCTCCGCAGCCACAGGAGCAATCAGCTCGCACAATTAGCCGCGGCTCCAACCTGCCTTCATCAGCTCGTTAAACTGTCAGCTCATTAGCCTGACGACAGGAGGGAGAACTGTGACGGCAGAAGATTTGATTTTTCCTCTGCCTTTTGTCAAACTTGTGATAAACGTCATTAACTCTCGTGTCGTTTCCTGCGTTTTTTACACGTGCGTTGGTGTCGTTTCCACTCCGTGTTCTTCCGAAAACAAAAAAAAGTGTGTGTGTGTGTGTTCTGAAATGTTAAAATTCTAAATCGGTTTACAGGCGCCCTGCTGGTGATTCTGTGTAACTAGAAAAACTTTCAGCAGTTCCTAATTAACACATGAGCTCAGTGGAAAGCCAGCGGCTGAAACCACGACTGCGTGACATTATCTACTGTATAATTACTGAATTTCTCGTGGACCTCGGTGTGAGCTGTTTACAAAGTAACACCAACTCCAGTTTCCAGCTGGAATTGACTGTCAAACAGTGAGAAAAGGCAGCAGAAAAATTAAAAAAAAACAAAAAAAACTTTCCTAATAGTCACTGTAAGAACTACTTTATATTTTTTTTGCCACTAAAACTACAAAAAAAATATCCGTCTCTGCGGTGGATGCTGCAGTTTATTTTTACACACTTTCTGCTGAATGTGTTTTTCTGCTGCTCCGTGACTGACAGGTCGTGTTTAGTGGGTTTAATGGGTTCAGTTTAGAAAAACACCTGTCAGACACTGCTGATGCTGATGCTGTTACTGCTGCTGTTGCTGCTGTTACTGATGATGATGATGATGATGCTACTGGAGGCTGGTTTGATTAGAATAAAACAATTCATTGACGTGATAATAATTATAATTACAGTGATTCTCCGTCTGATTGTGGCTTCACATGCACTTCCAATCATGACACCTGGATTCCTCAGAATTCCTCAGAAAGTTGAAATTTATAAACTGTAGAATGAGTATAAAATACTAAATATTTTACAATAACTGGGCTTGTTAACAAAATTGTCTAATGAACCAAAATGTTATGACTGCAGTACTGCTGCTGACCAACAGGGGTTAGTAGACCACCTGTTGATGCTCGGACTTAAGAACCTAATGTAAATGTCAATTAAAAAACCCAAAACAATCTGTTATTGTTGATTGGGTTGCAGGGATTGGTCCACATAATGCTATGAAACACTGAACTGAGCTGATTTGACTGGGTGAAATGCAGTCCCAAATTGTTACGGAGCCTACGAAACTTTGTAATTTACTATGCTGTATGGATTAAAAAAATAACATTGCCTTAATCATAAAAAGCGTCAACAGTCATGGCAATCGTACATACCTTCAATACGATGATTATTTATAAAATATATGTGAATTAAGTAAAATATATGAAAATTTCAATATGCGTCCTTTTTAATTCTGATAAGAAGAAATCATGACTCAGTCTTATCTAAAACAGCAGCTAATTCCTGCTATAATGACTCTCATCGTTACAGAAGAATTCTTTTGGAACTTTCCCTTTATCTAATTTGACACCGTTTTCTTCTCCTTTAAACTTCCAGAACTACGTTTCTCTCTCTCTCTCCCAGTATCCGCGCTCACATTCACGTGTCGCCCGTGTTTGAAGCTCACGTTGCCAAAGCCAACAGTGACCCGTCATGAGCCTGTGCTAACGCTAAGTGAAGTGGAATGAGGTGTTGCTGAGCGTAAACACCGACGTTTACACAAGCTCCGCCGTGACAAATGCCTGCGCTCTGCTGCCACCCATCAGTCGGAGCGGGCGCTGACCATCGTTTGGACAGAGTTAATCGTCCACTTCCCTGCTCTGAGCAAACACTGCAGCGGCACATGCACACAGAAAAAAAAAACCCACAGAAATGAGAGATAATTTTTCTTTTCCCACGGAAGAGGAGTGAGGTAGCTAAAATAAATGTGAGTAGGCTGGCAGGTCTAGTGGAGTAGATCTCACTTGTGTTTTACTTCTGTGTGGGAGAAAGCAGGGAGGCAGAGAGGGAGGATGGAATAAAATAAAGTTGCTGCTGCTGTAGTTTTGGCTGCCGTAGAGTGTAATCCTGCACCTTCGTGCTCCAGGATTACAGAGAGTTTGGTGGAGAGTGGGACACGGATTCCACCCACTTTAAAACATACATTCATTATTCACACCACACACCGTGGAAGTAAAAACTCTTTTTCCCTATCAGTCAACCAACAACTGCTGGTATAGATCTGCAACTGCATCGCTAACATTGACCAGAGAAATGCAGTCCCAAACCATGACAGAGCCTAAGAATAAACACAAATATTTTTGGCGAGCACAGCGGGTACTTGAGGGTGAAGTTGAGGGTGAGTAGCAGGACTGAATACTACGGGGCGGAGGGTAAAAGGGAGAGAAAAGGTGAATAAGGGGTGAGGAGAAGGAATGACGTAACATAATTAAGACTATGAAATGATTCAAACTGTTAATCTGATTAAACACATTTCTATATCTGTGGAAAAACCTTTAATCATGAATGTGTTTTATCTCAATGAATGATCTAAAAAATGTCAACAACAAAAATACACAAATGTGTGACTCGAAATTTAGCTTCACAGAGTAGGTTGTTTTTTTTTTTTAAATTCAGTTATTTAGTCATTACTAAGTCAGTCAACTTTTTCACAGTTGACTTATCTACTGCATCTGGGGGGTCGGGGGGTGGAGGGGTATTTGTATTTTTAAAACGTGCTCGTCATTCTACTTATACGTTATTCTTTTTAATCAAAATGATTTCACAAATGATTTAACGCTGTTTGCGCGTATGTAACGACGACTCTTTTCTATACGAACGTGAACTAAAGCGAATCCACGCAGGAACTTCGTACGGGATCGAAAGAATATAAAAAGAAAATATTTGGGAGCAGAAAAAACGTGGAGCAGGAGAAACCTTTTCTCAGAGACCAGTTGTTAGTAGATAAAGTGGATAAAGATTTGACCGAAAAAGTTTTTCCCAAAGAGTGTCCATGGAGACTGTTACCACGGCAACCACAACATCACATACCTCTGCCCTCGGGGAGGAGAAGAGGTCCATCTTTGGTTTGACAGTTTTCCTACAAGACGAGTAGAGACAGAGCCAAAATTACGACACGCAGAATCATCCCAGAGAAGCTGCTGCAGAGAAACACATTGGAGGTTTAGGATTTAGAACCCTGACACTCAAAGATCACCGCCCTCTGCCCTGAGCTCTTCTCCCCCAACGGAACAATTTTACAGCAAGTACTGGCACATGATTACATCACAGTCTAAGAAGAGCTGATTTTCACTATCACTATTTAAAGTATTTCCTTATATAATCTTACAGATTGACTGATGAACCCAGAAGCTGTCATTAATGCAGCAGTTAGCAGGTTTAGCTTAGCTATCAGTATCAGTTTAGATTAAATAAGTATAAGAGTATTAAAAGTACCATATTTTCTGGATTATAAGTCGCACTTCTTTTACATCCTTTGGCTGGGTTTGCGACTTATACTCAGGTTCTACTTATATATTAAAATATATAATTTCACGTTTGTTATTTTCACACTTCCAGCCACTAGAGGGCACTCTAGGCTCATGTACCGGTATCTGCTACTCTTGTACCACTGAAAATTTACACGTTTGTTACTTTCACACTACCAGCCACTAGAGGGCACTGGTGGGACTTATACTCCAGATCTATGATTTTGTACATTTGTTTCCTGATCTCTGCTGGAATTTGATGGACAATTTATTACTTCTACTCTTTCAGAAGAAGAGTGAAAAAACATCCTGTCCAGTAGGTGGCAGAAATGCATCTCAGATGTATCATCAGATGTAGAGCTGCCTTTGAAAGTGTGTATATTTACAAATGTAGGTAAGAACAGCAGGTAGGAGAGCAGAGGAAGTGACAAACGTCTGCTTTTGCGTTACTTCCTGTTGGGAGAGGCCCTGATTTACCACATTTACGTGACTTTCTGTCACTATTACACATCCACAGGTAAGAAAGCCAATCAGAATCCAGAATAGTCGCTCTTAAAAAAAAAAGGGAAGTGAACCAAAAGAAATCCAGCCCTGTCTGAGTGTGTTGATAATCAGTAACAGTGACCGGTTACCTCACTAACTTCTCTGTTAAAGAACAACCAGTGGTCAATACACGGCAGTGTGAGGTACAGAGGCTCCAAGAGGAGGAGCATCGTGGCCTTACACTTTGCGGGTTTGGGGCCTCAAACGCTTCAGAGCCTGGCTGTCTTCCAGCCGATGCTGGCTGTCCAAATCTGTCTGGTAGAAAAACATCCGAAGATCCTCGTCCAGAATGAACCAGATCGGCAGACTGAGCAATTTCTGGAAAAAAGTGGGAAGAGAATATTAGTTGGATGGAGGATAATTGATAAAAACAAAACAAAACAAGTCTAAGATGGGGTTTTTTTCCGTTGCTGTAATAGTGGGGACCAGACAATATTTTCTTTTTGGTCCTCAAAATTTTGTAATCCAGTCTTGGGGCTGGACTGGACGGTCAGGCGTGCCGGATTCAGCCTGCGGGCCGCGAGTTGGTAACCACTGGCGTAAAACAGTGCCGAAAAAGAAGAGCATCTAAGATCTAAGAAAGTGGCCACTGAGGGCCTGAAGAAGTCAAAGTTTGACGTAGAGATCGGAGACAATCAGGACTGAGACATGAGACGAGAAGAGAAGGACAACTGTTGGTCACAGATTAAAGAGTAAAGAATCGTGAAAAATGATGTAAAACAAGGGACGGAGGAAATCTACAGGACAGGAACCTGGTTCTGGTGGATTCATGTACTGCAGGTTACAGGGGAAAATAAAGAGTAGACTTCAGCAAAAAACAGAGAAGTGAGTGAGTGGGAGCAAAAAAAAAAAAAAAAAAAAGCTTGATTGTGGAGCAACATTGCAACATGTCAAAAAATCGCACAACAGCAGCAGCAGCAGCCACGGTTGTGTCAGACGTGATGTGGGCACAGGTTAGAGCAAAGGAAAAAAAAGGGAGCAGCTACGCCTACGTGCTGAGCTCCATCAGCAAACTCCCGCTGAAATATCCAAGCCAGCGCTGATCCACCTACAGCATCGTTCAGCCCACCAAGCTGTAGGCTAGTGAACTGCACGCAGCAGATGATAGCGAGCACGCCAACAACTCTTCCCTTTGTTCTAAATTAAACTCGGCACCGAGGCCGGCATTAAAAGTGATTACCTTCATGTAGATGTTGAGCTCGGGAATTCTGCTCTCTGCAATCTCCTTCTTGTTGCCAATGAAGACTTTTCCTGAAGAGACAAAGAGAAAAAAAATCAATACAATGAAAGAACAAGTACAGTATAAGATAGCAGCTATCAAATGACCAATGCCATCTCTAATACTTGATGACATCATCTAAGGGCTTTGTTTGCTTCTTTCGGTTTATTTTCTTCCTTCTTAGAATATTTGAGGAAACTCAAATGTTACTTGGTCTCTGTTTTGTTCACTGTTCACTGAATCTTTAAGTAAAAGGCTCAGTGAACACACAGCGTCAGCCTGTAGTTGCTCCTGCAGAGGGCACTCTACACAATACAACTCAACCAAACAGGACATTGTTTTTGTGATGTTTTGAGGTTAGCAAGCAAGCTTAAGGTTTTTTGTTTGTTTGTTTTTACTCAGTGTGAAACCTAGTCCTGTTTAGTTGAACCCTTACACTAATTCCCCTCGCAGAAAGAAGAAGAAAGACACACGCTCTCATTCTTCAGGCTTAAAAAAGCCAAGCTCGCGTAAGTAGGTTGTGGAAAAATAGGAGCATGGCTAAAATAGTTCAAGATAATTTAAATAAATAATGAATACTTTTCCAACCAAATAGATGAATTGACATTTAGCATGTAGCTTAGCTCAGATTAGCTAACTGCTACGTTTTTGGGTTAAAAATTTCATGTCATAAATTTCCCATGTTCAACAAAGACATTTAATGAGAGCGGAGCCGAGTACAAACTGGAACTGTTAGAGTAACTGCATGTTAGGATGAAGTACACAGATTACGGTCATGTTTTTCTCAGGGAACCAGATTTAGAGTTCAAGGGAGAAAAAAAAAGTCAAACCTGCAGGGTAGCTGACAGACATACCTATACGTCAAAGACACTAAAACATAGCGTGTGAAGAAGTTCAGGTATTTGTAGATGTTCGTATGGTACACGGTTTTGGCTAAAATAGTTTTTATGGAGAATGAACGAGAAAAGATGGATTTATATATAT